ATTATACCAGGAGAGAAGGAAACAAGGATGAGTATATATGATAAGGTATGTGCCATCTTGTAATCTTTTCTCTAAAATGAAGAAGATTATCTTCAGGCAAATAAGGAGGCTTCAGAAAAAGGTATTTGGAGAGGTTTGAAATACCTTCTATAGATAGAAGGAAAATGAGTTCACTAGGTACTAGTAGATGTATTGGATATTTGATCAGTGTTGAGCATTCATTTGACTGTGGTATGAAAGTGCAGTAAAAACAATTTTCACTGTGGCTTTCTCCAGCGCTGCTTGGCTGTTTGGGTCTGTGCATTAAAAAGTAAACAGTTTGGGTCTACCACAGTCCAATTCTCTTTAAACAGATGAAAAAAAAAAGGCAAGGGATTTGGGATATTAGAAAGAATATTATTGAAATGATAGAAACTATGGAAGTTTAGCTTGATAATGAGGGAAGAAAAGAAAGAAGACAGGTGATGGATTGAGGGAAAGTAGAGATATCAACTCATTAAAAAATCCAATAAGGTCAGAGAACAGTTGAGATGAGACTAGTTGCACAGGAAGAAGATGTGTTTGTAGGTTTGAATTAGTGATTTTGTAGGTGGAGCAATAGTGCCTGGTGATAGGTCTGAGATTTGACTGTGAGAGTACGTGGCTGAAATGGAGTGGAGACAGTTGATGGAGGTGACAGTGGAAAGAACTGAGAGGCCAGGTATTGAATAAGTCATCTACATGGTTACTGAAATTACCCAGGATTATATCAGGGAATAATGGATGATGAAAAGTTAGAGCAGGAGTCAGCAAACTTTCTCTGAAGGTCTAGATAGTAACTATTTTAGGCTTTGTGGTCCATACAGTCTCTGTTACAACTACTCAACTCCACCTTTGTAGCATGAGAGCACCTCTATACAATATGTATGTTATAATAGAACCTTATTTACAAAACTAGAGGCTTGGTGCACGAAATTCATGCATGGGTAGGGTCCCTAGGCCTGGCTGGCAATCAGGGCTGATTAGGGCCTTCTGGCTGCTGGCCAGGGCCTCCTTTCCCCAGCTGCTGGCTGCCAGCTGGGGCCTTCCTTCATTCCGCGCTACCCCCTGGTGGTCAGCGCACATCATAGCAAGCAATCGAACTCCTGGTCTCCGGTCCAATTCTGGTGGGGACAATTTGCATATTACGCTTTTATATATATAGATCAGGCAGCAAGCCAAATTGGGCCCACAGGCCACAGTTTTACAACCATTGGGTAATAGGAATGAATTGGGGGGTGGAGGAGAGAGATTCTTTATTTTTTCTCAAGTGTGTTACATATAGCTGCTAGTATCCGAGATGATTTCAGGTGATGCATGAAAAAACTTAAAAATTCCTAATTGTGGAAAATTTCAAACATATACAAAATTATATAGATTAGTATCATGAAGATAGCTGGAACTTATGAGAGATGAAACTATAACAAAATTCTAAACATATAATGTCAACAATTATCAACTCATAGGCAATCTTATTTTCCTTAAACTCTTATCAACTGCCCCCTCACAAAATACTTTGAAGAAAATCAAGATACCCTATTCATTTTACGATAAATCTTTAAAAGATAAAGATGTTGAAAAAATATGTAGCCATAATACCACTATCAGAATTAAAAAACAACAACAACAACAAAACTAGTAAGTCCCTTTGTCATCAAATATCTAGTTGGCCTCATAATCTTTATTTTTACATTTGGTTTAAATTAGGATTCAAATAATCTCCATGTGTTGTGATTATTTAATAAATCTCTTTCACCTGAAGGCTATTTTACATTGTTTATTTTTCTTTTGTGACGTATTTGTTGAGTAAATTTGATTATCTGTAGCCTGATTATCCCCATATCTATATGTTCCTCTGTCACCTTTTGGTTAAATACAGAGATTTGATCACATTAAGGTTTTTGTTTTTATGTTTTGTTTTTTGGCAAGAGTACATCATAGATGATGTTATAGAATTACATCAGAAGCACATAATATCTGGCCATGTAATATAAGCAGCCACTAATGAATATTACCTAGATCCATTAATTTATTATGGATTGCCAAACAGATGTTCTAAATCTACCATTCCTTCATTTATTAGCTGATGCATTCTTATAAAGAAAACTTTCTCTTATCCACCAATTACTTACATGATATACAGTTTGTCTAAGGAAAGCAGAACAGATACTTACTTGGTCCTTTCCTGTATTTACCAGATGTAAAAGTAAATTGGTTCACTAGCACTCTTAAGTGACAGTAATTATTTTGTGTTAAGTGTCATGAATTTACATAATTTAAACCCATTATGAGTTTTGATTCATATGGTTACTATCTTTATTATGCTGAAAATGCCCCATATATGAAAGCTATTAACTGTTGCATATAAGTTGCAAATATTTGCCCAGTTTGTCGTCTCTCCTTGCTTTCTATGATAATGTTTCCAGTGCAGAATAACTTTTTTTTTTATGAAATAAAATATTTCACTCTTTTTTCATGTTGGTCCTGATTCTGAATCACAGGAAAAGTTTTCCCCATTTCCAGATTATATAGAAATGCAGTCATTATTTCTACCACTTCCATGGTGTTTTTATTAACATTTAAATTTGTTAGGTTTCAATTGTAAAAAAAGTACCTAAATTTATATACATCCTTAATGTGTCTTTTTCTATATTTGCTACTTTTTTCTTTTCTGTGATTCACTTTATAAATTCTCTATTCCATCTCATGAATCCATCTTTTGTAATGTACAATAGATTTTCAATCCCATCAAGTTGCTTCTCAATTTCTGATATTATATTTTTAGGTTATTGTTTTTGATAGATTTTTAATTCTTTGATGACAACCTCACAATCTGGACAAAATTTACAAAAATGTAATACTTATGTATTTGGGTAATGTACATTAAAATATAAATAATATATAAGGTGGATTTTATGGACTTCACAAATATTAGTGCCTAGATAATTGTCTGTTTAAAATAAATGTATTTAAGTAAAACAATTACAATATTTTCAAGAATAAAATTAAATAGTAATAATGATGGTATGCAAATATGGCAAAAAATATTGTGATGGTGGTATACAAAGAACTTTATTTGGAAATACTGTTATAGCTAAATGTCTTTAACTATAGAGGGAAGGTGTGCTTTTTTTTAAGTTATGGGGTTGGAGTAATACTTGAAAGTAGCAATGGAGAGCAAGGAAGGTGCTGACACAACTCCTGATCTTGAGGAAATAAGGGTACAAGAAAATAAGCAGCTATTATTTGAAAATGATGCAGGGAAGATGTTCCCTGATGGGAAGGCCTGGTTTCAATTAAGCATAGAAGGAGGAGAGAGTAGAAAGAATAGCTGGGACTTATGAGAGATTAAACTATAACAAAGTTCTAAAAGCTACGGAGATATACCCTCCTCAAACTGAGAAATATTCCACTCTAAATATATATACTGTTGATAATAATGAGAATATTAATCCATGATTCATTAATCATACTCATGGTAATTATTCTTAAGTAGCTGAATGGTCAGAAAAGCTATTAGTATAGGATGATCTTTTCTATATAGAGTGTAATAGTTTAAATAAAGTAAGAATCCAAACTACAAGAACATAATCATTCAATAATTGGAAGTGACTAAACAAATGACGATGGGTATAGATGATGGAATGACATAAAGCCTCTAAAAATGTTAACCACAAATTGTTTAAGAATCATGCAAAACATTTTTAAGTAAAATTCATAGGTAACATTTTTTGGTTAATAGGATTGCAAAGTATGAGAAACACATGCACACAAACAAGATTTGTATATATATAAAAATAAGGTTTTTAAGATATTAGGATGCTAAAGTTGTTTTTATTATATACCAGAGGCCTGGTGCACAAATTCATGCACCGGTGGGGTCCGGCTGGTAGGGGGGCTGATGGGGAGGGGGTGGCCGGAGGGAGGGGCCACAGGCGGATAGTGGCACAGCCTGGCCCCCTGGTCAAACTCCAAGTCGAACTCCCGGTCAAGGAGACAATTTGAATATTAACCTTTTAGTATATAGGATTATTATTTGATGTTTTAGTTTAATAAAAAATGGATGTGTGTGTGTGTGTGTGTGTGTATAAAACTTTTCACACAAAAAGTCTATAGACAGCTATTTATCTCATATCACTTTAAAAATGAAACCAATGTGTTAATGATGTCTCCCTAGATTTTCCTTATATATTTTTCTGTATCATTTTTTACTTGAAGGAATTTATAAGCTCTATAAAGACAATTATAAAAACAGGAAAAAAATCCGTGGTTGACAGAAGTTTGGTGGGATGGAGGGATGACTAGATGGAGCATAGACCATTCTCAGGGCAGTGAAATTGTTCCGTATGATACCACAATGGTGAACACGTCATTATACATGTGTCAAAACCCATAGACTGCACAACACCAAGAGTGAACCCTAATGTAAATAAACTATGCAGTTTAGGTAATAAAGATGAATCGGGGTAGGTTCATGATTGTAACAAATATACCGCTGTGATTAGGGATGTTAATAGTGGGGGAGGTTGTGCAAGCATGGGACCAAGGAGAATATGGGAACTCTCTGTACTTTCCACTCATTTTGCTGTTTTAGGTTCACAGACATAAAAATATTAAGTCTATTAAAATTTAAAAGGGCAATTATAGGCTAAGATTTAATGTTTTACATTCTTTCTGATTAAGGAAATGTGATCTGAAGACTAAAGCACGAATTTAGGGATAAATCAGAGGAACATGTCAAATTGTGAACTTAATTCTTTTAGGAAAGAGTCCCTATAATTTTTCAGTGGTGATTTTTCTTAGTGACTTTGTTTTGCCATTTACACAGTAAGGACTCTAATGGGATTTCTCCTCTTTACTTCATAGGTATACCCTGAGGATGGATGAATCTTTATGCTAAAACGGTTCTCGTTTCTTTGATAAAAGGCACTTTATAAACCAATCACAGATCCATGTCTTTTCCACCTTATGTTTTGTTACAGTTACACAGGAAGAATGGAGAAGCCACAATACAATAGAAATAGAGATAAATCAGACTCTGAAAATACCATGCCTTCAAAATATCTCCTCGGGAATTTCATCTGAGTTCACCTTTGCATGGTTGGTGGTAAGTGCTGCCCTTTTCAGTGAATACCTGCAATGATCTTTAAATATTAATGAAATAAATGTGAATAGCAAATAATAATAGGGAAGGAAGCACATACTGGATGAGGGACAGGTATTATGGGTCAGGTTGGGAATGGTTGTGGGGAGACACTCAGCAAGTCTCTGAGTCTATGCATGCACTGATTTAGAAATTAGTTTCTAAAGGTTAGTTTCTATTTCAAGCTATATGCCAAGCCCCCATTACAGAAAAGCGTGTGTTGGTGCTCTGAAGAAAAGCCATCTCCAGTAGAAGCCCCTACTCACAAATGTTTGTTTTACCAACAACGTATGCCTAGGGATAGACTCCCTTTTCTCAGAATGCTTGCCATCACATCCTGGGAAATACACAACATTGCTTTATGTGGGGAAACACAAAATCTAATGCTTATAAAATACTAGGGGCCCAGTGCATGAATTTGTGCACCTTGAAAGGATCTGTGGGCCACGAGGCTGCGGTGGGCACAGGGCGGGTCTCAGCCCATCCACCGCACCCCTGCCCGGCCCTTCCTTCCATGGCCACTGGTCCCCTGTCTGCCAGCAGCCCCGCTCCCACTGCTGCTGCTCCCACAGGCTGATGGCGCCGGCCCCACTTGCACCGCTGACAGCACGGAGAGATTGGGGCTGGTGCTATCAGCAGGTGCGAGTGATAGCTGCTGCCCCATCACCCCTCAGGAGCAAGGGGAGGTGAAGAAGCCCTCAGGGGTGATTGCGGCCGGCAGCCACCACTTGCACCCGCTGAGGGTGCCGATCGATCGGACCCGCGCCAGGCAAAGAATTTTCAGTAACCACCAGAGGCTCGCCCAGATAACAGCGACCAGCACCCCGCCTTGGTCTGGCGCCCCTGCTTACCTGCTCCACCATCCCACTGCAGCTGACATCTGCCATGTTCCATGCTCTGCTGCCAACGCCTGCCATGTTCTGCACACGTCCCCTGGTGGTCAGCGCACATCATAGAGACTGGTTGTTCTGTTGTTCGGTTGTTTTGCTGTTTGGTCTATTTGCATATTAGGGTTTTATATATATAGATAGGTGGAACATGTACCTGAAAATGACCTATATTACAAACAGCCACTGGTTAGCTCTATTACTGCCACAGGGATCGGCAGGCCTATAGTTGTCTTGTTTTCTGACTTCAAAATTCAGAAATTTGGAATTTTATGAGAAATTTTCTAAGCCAATCAAATGGCAGCCAGCTATTAACCAATATACATAGTCCACCTCTAATACTGTTAAATCAGATAATGTTACCGGACTGAAGGGGCATTTGCCTGCATGCATCAAAGCCCCATAAGACATGAACAGGAGCTTGCAGCCAAGAAAGTGAGGATTTATTAAGGATATGGTGCCATGCCCAGAGTCACAGGTAATTAATCATTGCATCTAGTCCTGATATGAACAATGGAGGTTGTTCTGTCCCATTTCACAAGGATTTGTTCTATGGGATTGTTCCGTTTTCCAGAGCTAAAACATAACTGAGGCCAAGATATTATTATTATTTTGATTGAAAACTCTGTATCTGTAGTCAATAGACCCAAGACTACTGGATACTGACCAGAACCTCATTGTCCTGGGACTTAATAATTAATCAAGGGGAGGGAGGTAGATGAGTCCAGGCACTGGCTGAGGCCAGTTTGAATCAAAGGGGGAAAAAATCAAAATAAAGGGCAGATTTAAAAAAATAAGATTAGATACTTCTCCAAAGAGGATGTACAAATGGCCAATAGATATATGTAAAGATGCTCAGCATCACTAATCATCAGAGAAATTCAAGTTAAAACCACAATGAGATATCACCTCACACCTGCCACAATGGCTAGCATCAATAAATCAACAAATAACAAGTACTGGCGAGGATGTGGAGAAAAGGGAACCCTCGTGCACTGCTGGTGGGAATGCAAAATAGTGCAGCCACTTTGGAAAGCAGTGTGGAGTTTCCTCAAAAAATTAAAAATGGAACTGCCTTTTGAGCCAGCTATCCCACTTCTGGGAATATATCCTAATCACCAATCAGAAATAATATATGCACTTTATGTTCATAGGTGAATTACTTACAATAGCTAAGGTTTGGAAACATCCCAAGTTTCCATCAGCAGATCAGTGGATCAAAAAGCTGTGGTACATTTACACCATGGAATACTTTGCAGCTGTAAAAAAGAAGGAAGTCTTACTCTTTGCAACAGCATGGATGGACCTGGAGAGTATTATGCTAAGTGAAATAAGCCAGTCAGAGAAAGACAAATACCATATGATCTCACTAATATGTGGGATCTAATGAAAAAAAATAAACTGATGAACAAAATGTAATCAGAAGCAGAAATACATGGAATGCTAGACTGGCTGATGCCCAAAGGGAGAGGGATAGAGTAGTGATTGGATAAAGAAGATGAAGGAAATAGCTACAGAACACCTATGCATATTCTATAGACACAGACAATAATTTGGTAAAGTCCAAGAAAGAGGTAGGTAGGGGAGGGTGGAGATAGGCAAAGGGGAAATGTGAGGGGGACAGGGACTCCTGCAATAATGTGAAAATAAGGTTTCTGCACGGTTACAATAACACAAGACTAAAGGAATTATAAAGATAATCATAAACATAATTTTGAGAATCACAAAATAAGTATTCATTTAGATGATCCAGAATATGATTATATTATTTTTTAGCTTGTCATCACAATAAAAACACAAAATTTAAAAATTCTTACAGAATCATATATATCCATGAACTTAGCAGCTGATAGTTTGCAAAATACTGCATTTGCATGAGTTATCACTCATATTTCAAGTTGACCTAGATTTTTGTGGACTGTCTTGGAAAGTAGAGCCTTCATATAAAAAGATTTCTCTGGGGATGTGACAAATCCAAAATAACTGACCTGCTAGTAGGCCTTGAAATACAACCTACAGATAATTTCTCTCTGGCTACATATATTTTGGGTAGTCAGTAAAATGAAAGGAAAAAATATTCTAAAGTATCTTTCTCACTGTGCTAAATTGTCCAATGTCTCTTTGTTATCGGTCAGAAAACACTCTTATTTTTTCATAGTGTTTGGTTTTTAAAATATAAGGCTTTCTGGGCATGATGCCTATGGTTAGTATAATTCAGTTGTTCTTAACAAATGCGATACAATTTGGTTCTTAAGCAAAGGTTCTGGGTTGGGGGGAGGGCAGAAACTTACAATACTAAACATTACAGTAATGGAAATGCACTTTCTATACCTTGGCTTACATTTTTAATGTTTTCCACAAATAGGCAAACAGTTTCTACCCCAATTATCATAAACTCAACTAACAGTGGGAATAATAAAGCTTAATAATAATAAATAATAATAAAGTTTAGTAAATCTTCACTATCCAGATTTTTGCTGGCTAAGTAAGTTGATTGGTAGTGTCTTATCTTATCTTTAGGGTGTGTGGTCTGTTTTTCCAAGCAAATGTAAAACCTTCACTTGATCTGTGTCCTTTGTGTGACTATGAGCTTCTCCAGCACATAAAGTTATCACTCACTTCAAAAATTCTTAGCATTTGGTATAGTGCCTAGAACATAGGCACTCAATGAATAATGGAATGGCTCTGTGTCTCTTTGTCTCCTTCCCCCACAGTCCTATTTCTTGTCCTCATATTAAATTGATGGTCACTAAATTGATGCTGTGCATTTGATTGATTAATGAAAAGCAGCTCATTAAGTGTCAGTGACTTGATAAATGGTACGGCATCCTTATCTAGTAATTTTCTTTAAAGAAATGAAAAAGACTAAATAGACCTCATCTTCGGATCCTGCCAGGACGGTTAGGATAAATGAGGGGCAGAGAGAGCGCACCTAAGGTCACACACTGAGAGAGTGAATCCGAAACTTCTGCTGGAACCTCAAGCCATGCTGTCACTTCAAACAGTGCCTCATGATACAGAGAACCGGAGGTGTCTTTTTGAAAGAAACCTCTCTTCAAAGGAAATATTATGTTGGTAAATGTGCTGATTAAATTCCTACTGTGCATTCCATTTTTAAATGTCAAAATCTATTTGCTCTTCTGATTTACATCCGTGCTCCATGCTGTTGGAGGCTGCGGGATTCAGCAAGTCTGATATGAAATTATCTAATTTCCTCATATTAAGGAATAAACTGCAGCACTTCATGCCATGACTGTTATAGGTCTGCAGAGGACATAAATATCCTCTCCAATCCCTATTTTAGTTCTTTAATCTCTTGTTAAAGTAGCAATAACAATCATAACAATAAGCCAGTTGTCCTCACAAACATTATATAATGTGGTTTTTATCAAATTCAGAGATGAGGGAGATGAGCTCAGGAGGACAGACACCTGCTGTAATAAACTCAGTAGCTCCAGGAAGCTATGCACGCTCCCATTTTCAAGTCTGCATTAGAGTCTGCAAACAATTTTAGAAACTAAAATTATTTTAATCTAGGTCACTGGAAAATAAAAAATATGCCCTCCTATATGTAGAATTTTATATTATCTAATTATTCAGTTATGACCCTCACGGAGATGATTAGGATTCTCTGTTAACATTAGAAAATTATTTGGTATATGTATCTGACCCCATATGAAGGCTGTGCTAAATGTGTTCATGGGCCAGAATCCCTTTGCATTTTGGGGGAAGTTTCTTTTCCAGCATTGGGACTTCCCCTGGAAGTGGAACGGGGCTTCACGCACAATTTAGGGGAATCCAACATTGGTGGTAGCATACTAAGTGAACACCAAGGGTTAACCCTTCAGTGGACACTGAAGGTCTGAGTGAATGGCAGGTGATATATTAGAAATTGCACAATACATGAACGTTTAGATGGGATGCAGTTGGTAGAAAAAGGACAAGTGATATGTTTCCCATTTATGTCCTGGGGCACAAACATACATTCATCAGGGAAATTCTGCAGACTTGTCCTGGGAGCTTCTACATATATCTAATATTCTGTTTTTATTCCAAACAATATTCCTGATTTCCCAC